CGCCACCGGAGGAGGATAACCGCGGGGCCTCTGGGCCCCCGGTTATCGGTAGCTGGCTATCTAGCCAAGACTGTGAAGACTCTGACTAACATCTAACACGGTTACATGCACAACGTTAATTTCTACTAATGTTAGCTAACAGACGCTAACCTGTGTCTGCGTTTATCACTCTTCACATCCATAACATTTTCTGTGTTTTTACAAACGCCAGACAGTAAAGTAACACGAGTCTTTTTACTCACCTTTTCCTCTTCCATTAATGAAATTGCTTCTTTTCCTCGACCACGCAAAAATTCACTTAAATCCGACATTTTCTGGGCAGCACGTAGCTCCTCTCCAGCATGACTCAAAGGCACTCACTGAACTTGGATCCCTGCAGGTACCCATACTTCTGAGATTAAAGTCAGAATACTGAGAATAAAGTCAGAATACTGAGAATAAAGTCAGAATTTTTAAAAAAATTTATGCAGTGGCCCTAATACTCTTCCGTACTTTGCAGCAGTAATTTATTCAAACAAGTTTAAACCTGTGGTCGTCTCCCACATATGTTCATATCTCATTTGTTGACAACATCTGGATATGTAACTTGTATTTCCTCACCTCCAGATGTCCTGCTGCAGGATGACTACATCTACTCTGTTTCTTACTTGTATTTAAGGCAGCAGAAAACATTTTCCTTTGTGCCCGTTTTCTTTCCCAGCATGCACAACGCAGGAACACAGCACATCACGTGTCTTATTCACATCTGTAGTGTCAGTAAATATGCCTGGACACTTGCAGTGATGCAGTCTTTACTGATAGCTCCTGTTGTCCTGACAGATGACCTGTAGATGTCCGTGTATTCAGCAGGGAGCGGTGTGTATCCTCTGCCAGTGACTGGGCCCAAGGAAACACTGATGCTGCTCCCTGTACTGACTGTGTTAGTTAGTGTTAGTGGTATGATTTCTGATCTGCTGTGGATCTTTAGCTCTGCTCAGTGTTTCTGTCAGAGCATGACAACCAGACTCATACAACATGAGGAAACTGTCTAATACTAAATAACCTCTGTGTCTCTGGCAGCTGGCCTGGGCCGGACGGGCACTCTGATTGGCTGTTACCTCATGAAGCATTATCGCTTCACAGCAGGTGAGGCCATCTCCTGGATCAGGATCTGCAGACCGGGCTCTGTAATTGGACCACAGCAGAACTTTCTGGAAGAGTGAGTCTCTGCCTTAATGTGCTTGTACACTGACAGCAAAGGTTATTTATTCCATGTGCAGCAGATTTTGTCAGACAGGGATGGTTCTGAGAGCTTGGTCCACTTTAAGGTAGAATATTCTTTATTCATGTGGCCAGACGAGTCCATCTAATCTTTAAAATGATGTTCTCTGTTGAGTCTCTCACTACAGGCATCAGTAGACTAAAACACAGAACACACGTGATAATCCAGAGATGCTGCTGTAATAAACAGACATGGCTGACCACCTTAAACGTTTCATAGTCAATACAATGTGATATTTGTGGTGGAAGAACAAGTGTGTAATTTAACTGTGTCTGTCCAAGATGTTAAAGTCAGCCCTGGTGCTTCTTTGCAAGGGCAGAGAACAGCATCATTTATAGCTTCTTATCAGATATATTCTCCTTTAGAAGCAAAAATAAACAGCAGCTGTTTTGAATGAGCTGCTTTGTTTACAGCTTGTATTTCCACTGTCAAGCTCTTCTCCTTTCCCTTTCTGAATGGCCAAGACACCACCACCTGCTGGTAGGGGGAGTTATTTCTATCATGCGGGTGCAGAACGTAGCCGCTAGTTGGCCGTTGGCTGTCACTTTTTCAACCCGACTGGCCCAGACGAAGCCAACTTGAAACAGTTGCATGGCAGTGGAAACAAACGCAGAACCTGTGACGGGTGTTACTCGGCTCAGCACGTTTCAGTAGCTTCCTATGGTGGAAAAACTCCATGTGTGAGGGTAGGGTTAATGAATGTCCCCTGACTGTGCTTGTGTCTTAACAGGAAACAGGCGACACTGTGGTTGCTAGGTGACAGTGAGCGTTCCCAGAAGACCAAGCAAGAGGACAAGGCGGTGTCGCACCTCATCACCAGTATAGATGACCTCACATTAAACTCTGCCCACAACAGCAACATGTGCCGATCCTCAAGCTCTGACCAACCACATGAGGTCGAAACACACACACACACACATACATCCATACAGTATGCACACACATACAGTGTATATAGACAGTTAAACACACCTGGAGCCCACATCACCCAGGGTGTAGCTGCAGCTTCTGCTGGTCAGCTGGAGTTAGTGGTAGTTAATTAAACACAGGTTAACGAGCTCTGGTGAATCGTTGAGGAGACTGATATTATATTTGTGTGTTTGGTAAAGGTTTGAACTTTTATTGAAATAACAAAATGATCAGGTCCTGTCTAAACAGAAATTAAAAACAAAGTGTGAGCACTATGAACACAATAATAACAGTACAGTCTACATCTTACTATGTAAAGTGTCCTGAGATGACTTTTAATGTGATTTGGTGCTATACAAATAAAACTGATTTTAATTGATTTGAAGGTTTCGCTCTGAAACATGTTACATCTTGTTTTTGTAGAAGCCAAAAATGTTTGTCATTTTGACCAAATAGTGAACGTTGATTTTCTATGACACACAGAAACTATACGCAGCGTAACAGCATGGCACCATGATAAAACAACTTTATATAGCTTCTAGGGTTATGTAGCTGCACTCGTTCAGATTAGCTTTCTGAGCTTCTATCTGTTTCCCTGTGTTTGACTGTGAGCTGTCTCATGGTGCATTTGTTTCATCCATCAGGGTGAGGGAACAGACAGCGGTGTGACTCAGGGAGACAAATTGAGAGCCTTAAAGAGTCGCCGTCCTCCCCGCCCCGCCACCACCGGAGCCCTCAGGTACCAAAACCAGAACCAAACCAGAACCAACCAGACCAGTTGACTGTGTAGCTGAAGAGCTCAGAACTGTGGGAACTGTGTTAAGCTGCAGCAGGGGCACCTCTATAGTACTGGGATTGTACTGCTGACCCTCGGCTTGGCTCTCTGTTTTTGTTAAGTGTTGGTGCAGTGACCCGTTACTGGCCTGTGCTGAATTAGTTTGGGCTGCTGTTTTCTTTCATGGCTTACATATTTTAATTCTAGGTTCTATCATATACTTTGGTCCTCTTACTGATTCTCCCTCTCCTATTGATGTACTTTTGTGTATTTCTTATTTGTCTTTGCTTTACTCACACACCTACCTTCTGCTCTTTGTTGAAGTTAACAGTTAGTGCTTGTTTCTGTGGGGAATCTGATCTAGATTTTGTTTGATATGTTGGACTGATGTTTGAGCTGTAGAATGTAAATTTTGTTAACACAGAGAGAAAACACCTCGGCAGGGGAAAAACAGATGAATTAAGATCCATTGGGCGTTTGATACGCTTGCATATCTTTTTCTATATGAAGTGATTTGTCGCCAAGAAGGAGTAACGTGTGCTGACTAATTGGGCTCCTGACTCACTGCCTTCGAATAGCAGACTTAAGCCAGAGTTGCACTTTATTTGATGCTGAACATATTTTAGTTTCATTTGTAAACACGTCACTTTCTTGTCTCTACACTTTTCTTATTAACAGCTCCTCAGGAGAGTGCATAAGCTGCCGAATGGAGCCCAGAGGCAGAGTCTTGTGTTCGTCAAACTGACCTGTGACAGCAGAGCTTTAAAAAGCAATTTTTATCAGCTCTGATTGTAAAGTGACTCCTTTTGTTACAGAGTGGACGAGATGAAGATGCATAGCAGGTCATCGTCACAGCCGCTCAGGTACACCTCACACCTGCAGTCACACCTGTTTAAAGCACAGAGTAATAAGATGAAAATTAACAAATGCAATGACGTTTTTCACTTGTTTGACTGATCAGATATCAATGCATGTATTGATAGTGATTTCTGCGTTTGTGTTCAGGTTGTCGATGGGAGTCAGTCAGGGCCCCGCCTCGCCACTCAAGTCCTCCAGGTTCCCAGCATCCTCTGCTTCAGCTGCAGCCAAGAGGATCGGGAGAAGTCAGTCATCATCGGCGTCCAACATCAGAAGGTCAGTGTCTCAATCAGCTTCCTGTCTGTCTCGCCAAACATCCTGCCCAGCTCCCTCAACCCTTGCTACTAATTGGTTACTTTAAAACTGTATTCCAATACAGTTACAAATTACCTGCCAAAAACATATTCAATAATTTAATCCAACTATAATTTGATACTTGGATTGATTACTTTTGAATTACCTCAGCACCAAATATGCAGATAAAGACATGAGAAAAGAAATATCAGTAAGATAGCTTTGACTTCAGTGTGTTCTGTAAGACAGCAAAACAGTGGAACCTTAAGAAAATGGGCAAACCTGGAATTTTAATCACAAAACTGTGTCCTCTGCTTGGTGTATTTTTTTAAGAAAAACCTGCTTTTCCTTAATCTATAGAAGGGTTAGCATTAGGTCACAACAAAAGTGACCACATACTTATGACCACAGAGTACAGTTTACAAAGCACAAATAAAATCTGCTCCTTTTACAAGACAGATAGGAAATGCTTTGTTTTACTTTAATGCCTATATTAAGAGTACTCAAACTGTTTTTTAACATCAGAGTCCACCTACTGAAAAAAACAAGCACAATCAAATGAAAGAAAATTCAGGCAGTAGATTAAAGTACTAGACTACAGAACAGTATCTTTGACAAAGCAAAAATAAAATCTGCTCCTTTTACAAGGTGTAAACAGACAGTGCTTTGTTTAGTACATGGGTTAAGAACATAACAGATCAGATGGCTTATGAGTAGGTTCATTTATTGTTTGTCCAGCTATTGCTTTCCTTGTTTTGTCCATATAATTTGCATTTAGATTAATAGTCATAACATTAATTATGCACATTCAATTTAAATGTACTTTGTTAAAGCTGCCTTAAAGTGCCCATGGCTGCTCATTGTGCTTGTTTCCAGCCATTTAATGTTTAATCTTGGGTACCTCTAGCTCTAGCTTGGCACCCCTCATAACTCCAAATAGTCTATAATTTTTTCAGAATAATAAAGCCAAAGAGCCTCTCCCTTAAATGCGAGGATAGTTCGTGAACGCGCACAACTCCTACTGCCAGTGTTGTGTCGCAAGTGGACAGCACAACGATCTGCAGCGGCATTAATTAATGTGAATGTCACCTCCACAGATAGGTAAACAATGGTATATGTACTAATGAAAAGAGATGTGTAACACTCTAAACAAAGCAGGCAGAGGACTTTTCAGGTAGTGATGGCCTTGCGGCTGGGGCTACAGCAGCTGCACAAAGTTAACATGCTCTTTGTACTGCAGTTTATGGCGCTGTTGTAAATGGTGGAAAAGATTTGAGGAGTTTTTTTTTTTTTTGTTTTTTTCTTTTTACGAACCAGGGCTTCATCAGTAGTGTAGACCAGCGTTGTGTCTCCCATGTTGCAAGCAAACTTGTGAGCAAGAGCGTAGCAGTGCAGCGGGGAAGTGGGATTTCGCGGAGAGTGTTAGAGATGCAAACGAAAAAACAAGTTAGATAACACAACATCAGTATTGATATAAACAATATTGTCTCATCCTACACCTCATTTGAAATTCTACTGATATAACTTACAAATGCGATATATTGCCCAGCCCTATTGTAGTGTTCAAATTGTAATCCTGCTAATAATCCCAATTTTTACCAAATGTATCAGTAATCTGATTGTCTTTTTTCTCCATGACGTAAACGGAATAGCTACCTTTTTTTCTGTCCTAAACAAGTAATGCTGTTCCATGTGTTCCGTTACTCCCCAGGCCTCGTACTAATACACAAGGTGAATCCCAGTTTCCTTATTTTTACTGGTCCTTGCTCCTTGCTCAACCTGGAAGTTGTACTCGTCTGTCATTTGAAGGATGTCTCAAAGCTCTTATATCTGCTCTGAGGAGTGAGGAGGTCCCTGCATAAACATGTTCTCGATTCCTCTCTCCTATGTAGGCAGGAGGAAAAGATGCAAGTGAGGAAATGTGGATGATATTAGGGGAACTGGGATTCACCTTCATTCACCACATTCATCCCCTTTTGACCCAGACTTTGCCGGGTGGCTGACAGAGGAAAAAAAAATCCAATAATCACTGATAAATGTGTTTGTTGGGTCTTGTCCGTGTGTTGTGTGTGTCATGTTATTCATGTGTGCTGTGTTGTGCATCCTCAGCTCAGCCCTCGGCTCTCGATTGGCCAGCTCTCTCAGTGACCTGTATGCTGCACATGTGGAGGGTGACAGGAACACCCCCTACTCCTCTCTTCTTCCTCCCTCCTCCTCCTCTGTGTCCCTCAGCCCCTCTCCCTCCTCTTTGGCCCCACCCCCTGTGTCTCGCTATGGTAATGGGCCTCACAGCATGCAGCATGAGGTCAATAACAACAGCGGTCCATATGGCGGCTCTGGTGAAGAGCTGCGCCCGCCAGGGGCCTCAGGACTTCAGCCCCTACAGGGGCCTCGGAGGCTACAGTGCTATGACGGGCCCATCAGGACGCTTCCTGAGCCGCTCCATACCTGTAAGTCCTCTGACACAGCAGCAGCTCAGCCCCACCCCTCTCTGCTCATTGGTTCGCTTTGCTGTGACATCACCAGCACACTGGACACAGATGTTTATTTAAACAAAAACAGTGTCAAGGATTACACAGTAAAGTCATATGACTGGACTCGGTGACAGGCTGCTAGCCAGGCACTAGAGCATGGCAGTTAATTGCATTTTATTTGCCATTATGATTTTGGCTTTCAGCGGTTATGAAGACAAAATTATCGCGATAAAATGATTATTGTGCTGCACTCTGTTTCACAGTGATGCTTCATCGCACCCCTTCAGTGCTCTATAGTGCATTTTTTGCTCGCATCAAGTAAAGTGAGATGTATCACCCGAAGCCACAACATCTGAGCTTGTTACTGTACGCTCATTAAACCCTCAGTCGCTAAAAAGTCAGTAAGAGCAGTTTATCAAAACACCCTCTAAACAAGCACAAACTCACAGAGAAGTGCTACTTTCAGCTTTGCTCACAGTCTCATCCACTGCCAGTTTCTGTTAATGTAGCAAGCTTGTTAAGCTAATAGCTAATTGTTATGAGCAAGTTGGAATGAAAGCTGACTGTAGCCTTACGGTGAAAGTGATTCTTTAGGTTATGACAGGAAATACTGTTAACCTGAGGTAGTTTTATTTGTAAAACAAATGTAGAGTAATAAGTAATGTCCTCCGAACTGTCAGTCACATTTAGGTAGATAATTATTTTTTCAGTTATGTCTTATTTAAAGACTTGTTTTTCTTTGAAGTCCAGTAAATCCATGATGTTTCCAAAGTCAGCCAGTAATCATGTTAATTGTAATCTCAATATTGACCAAAATAATTGTCATCATTTTTGCCATAATCGTGCAGTCCTAACAGACACTGATGTGTCAGGTGTTTCCAGTGTGTTTCTGATGCTCTGCTTTCGGTCGTTAATGTTTCTGAATGTCAACACTTCTTCTGACTGATCACATGACCAGAAACAGTAACATGATCCACCATAACACTACACTGTGTTTAGTATAAAGATGCCTCACTCGTGTGACTCTACATTCATCTATTGAGCTCTGACTCCTAATCTTTGTACGATTCATACTCACAAATCTACTGTGTGTGTGTGTGCGGGGAGGTGAGGATCTGTCAGCGTCACTAACACCATAAAGCTGCTGCTGAGTTAAAGGAACCTAATGAAGCGGGGCATAGATAGACATGCAGCTTAGGGTGATTGATAACTCTAAACTGCCCATAGGAGTGAGTGTGAGTGTTTGTCTACATGTCAGCCCTGTGACAGACCGGCGACCTGTCCAGGGTGGACCCCGCCTCTCACCCAGTGTCAGCTAGGATTGGCTTTAGCCCCCCCATGACCCAATTCAGGAATAAGCGGTGTAGATAATGGATGGATGGAAGTGAAGTCAAGGTATGAAGTAACAGAAAATGAAAATATTCAAATTACAGATATTTCAAAATTGTACTTGAGTACAGTACATGAGTAAATGTACTTAGTTACTTTCTACCACTGTTTAGAAAAGATTAGAAAAAGTGTGATAAATTTGCGATTAATCGTAAATAAACTGAACAATCGTGATTAATTGCAATTAAATATTTTGATGGATTGACAGCACTGATTTACCGTAATTTCCAGACTATTGAGCGCACATGAATATAAGCCGCACCCACTTAATTGAAAATGAAAAAACACTTTGTACATAGCCGCAGTTGTCCACGTTGTAACATGAGATATTTCGACAGCCAGATCGATCGCCTTTAATTTGAAAGCGGCATCATATGCATTTTGTCGTGTGTTTTCCATGATGAGGGTGTGTGCATGAAGTGAAAAAAGTAGCGGCTTATAGTCCGGAAATTATGGTGTTTTTTTTTTTGTTTTTTTTAATATCCAACCCTACCCCACCAAAACACTTTAATAAGCTGCGCCACCTTGGCTACACTACTAATGTTGCTAGCAGTGTATTGCTACATTTCAACAGAGGTTTCAGAGGTTTTTAATAATCTGATATTTCACATCTGTCTTTTGGTGTTGCTAACATTTCTTGTGTGGGTTGTTCTCTCACTTGGGTCTGAGACCCGCCCACATGTCATTAATGATATGAGGCGTCCTTTCCTACAGTCCTTCATCTGAACTTATTTCTCACAAGGGGCTGTATCAGTTGATAAAAGGTAGGACTTTGCTCATGGCTCCTAGCAGCCTCCTCACTCAGAGCAGATATAATATAGAAGAATTGGAAGGTCCTCGGTCGACTGGAACAACCTTGGGAGACACCCTTTGTTCTCCATATGAGAATCGTTGCTTATTGTGCAGTTTTTCCTCTGGTCAACAGAGGTCAGCATAGCTGGGGTCAAAGTTTAACCACTACAAACTTTGAGCACAACCCCTGCTCCACGTGGCATCTGCCTGAGCCATCAGCGCACATACATGGTGACAAGGGGGCATGTGATAAGCTGTACTTCTTGTCTGTCTCTGAACCTCAGCTTGTACACTCTGGTCTTAAACACAGGTTTATGCACAGAGGGCTTTTCCTCTCTCAGCAGGTGGATGTGAAGCATCCTGACAGTGTTAAACTCTCAAACATCAAGTCAAAGAACAGTGAACATGTTTGAGTGGAGGGTACTGTGCATCCTGATATAAAGGATCACTTTGTAGTTGGAGCAGCAAGTTGTCTGCATTAGTTTTTGTGTTCACAGACTGAGGCGGACAGTGAACTTTAACTTGTAACATCTTCAGGATGCTCTTTTAACACTCAGAAAACAATAGGACCAGATCTGACACTTTGATGCTTTGTCTTCCAGTCTCTTCAGGCTGAGTACATCCAGTACTAAAACTGCAGACCTGGCCTGAGGACACATTACCCACAGCCCCTCCTGATTACCTAGAGTCCCTCCGGTGTTTAGCAGGAAGCTAATAACCCAGCAGGAGTTCACTTCTATCTGGGCTGAAGAGACTGATTCTGCTGTGAGGCGGTAACAGCTGCTCTCTGTTCATACATATGTAAATTAGCTGTATGTTAATGAGCTCTGTGTAAATATGATGTAATCTACATGTGTGTGTTTGGCTAAAGAAAATTTATTTAGATAAAGACACATTTTATATTTTTTATTTGTGACATAAGAATCATATTTTTGTTTCAACAATAATAATGTAGTTTTTTTTATAAACTGAAGGATTAGCTGACAGTGCTCCCTTGTCATGGTTACAGTATTTGCTTCCTGTTTCTGATCAGTTACCCATGTGACTTGAGTTTCCTCAGATTTAGTCTGAAGGAGATGGATTTTATTCTTGTATAATTAAAAGCAATAATCATGATAGAAGAAGAAGGGACCTAAAAACAAAGCACTGATGACAAACTCAGGGGATTATAGTGAGAGAGAGAGAGAGATTAAGTCTTAGACATTTTCAGTTTGGTCTCGATCAGTTTAGTTTTTGTGAAGTCATGACAAAAACATCTACATGTCTCTGGCAGATCAATACATGTACAGCTGAAATGATTAATCGATGAATCTGATCAACAAAAAAAATTAACCTCCAACAATTGTAATAATTAATTTCTATGTTTAGCTCAGAAACGTGTTTTATTTTCACGTGATTTGGATCAAACATGTCTGAAAGTCAAAGTGAGGTGGGTCCTGTAATCTTGGAACAAGCCACTGAGAGACATCTTTAAGTTTCACATCTGAAGACAAAACACTAGGGCTGCCTCCTGAAAGTTAAGTAGTCGAATCATTAGTTAAGAGACTTGTCAGCCAGTGTGCATTACAATAGAAAGCAGCCCCAGCCGGTAGTTTGTCACCTTCTTCTCCTCATTCTGATGTGCCAGCAAAGGCGTTAACGCATTTGTAAACAGACTCGCTGTGCATTGATACAAGTTCTGGCATATAGGGCCTATCTGCATGGATGTAGCTAACACTATTTGCTTGGTTTGCATTTAGGAGCCAATAAGTTTAACTGAAAATCAGTTTTGTTTTGTTTTTTTCTGGGTGCTTGGTGCGTGGCATTTTGGATCTGGTTCTAATTTGGAACAAAGTTTCTGTTTCCAACCCTAATGAAATTACACAAACAATGTGAATAATGTAACATTCACACAAATCATGTCAGATTTCAGTTAGCAGCACAGGTACTGCAAGGCAGCCTACACACTGACAGGAAGTAGTTTAGGCCTGCTCTCACTGTGTGATGAGGAAGGTGGACGTTTATCGGTGACAATGTTTTCAGTAAGCTGCAGGTTGTAAGAGCAAACAGTGAGACATCTGCCAGAGACATGGAGGATTTTGAATCCACCTGATCCACCACAAACTGAAGCAATCTGGTGACAGTGTTCTTCCTGTTTAAGGGGACACGGTGACCTTTGATCTCCGGAGTTGGCCTGTCTGAGCTGCTACTGAGCAGCTGGTCTGTAGACAAACTTTTCTCTCAGGCTGGAGGCTGGATTTGATCAAGCACAATATTATTAATGTTCTTGTGGGACAGTCGAAGTGAATCTGACAAGATTCTGATGAAACAATGACGTTTACATAATTCAAGGACAAATTGTGGTGCTGTAAACACAACAGGACTCAGATCCTGCTCTGATCAGATTCAGCTTAGCATTTGTCATAAACCAGCAGTGAGCTGTGTCAGTAAATATAATGTGTAGTCTCAGAGCCCATGGTATGTTTGCAGACCACTAAAGGGATTTTTGTGTGTCAAATGTTAAAATAGGCTGACATTTCAGGAAGTCCTCTTGTTTTAAGCCCAGAATGGCATGTTGTTGTTGACATAAACGTCTTTGAGTGTCCTGACAGCCTGAGCACAGCAACACTCAGGTTAATAAAAGCTGTGTCTGTTTCTGGCTTTAAAGGCCTGACATTCAGTAAAACTGACCCAGACACAGTTCTGTTTGTTCCACTTTGAGCACATGTTCACTTGTGAACACTCTGAGTACAGTCCATGTTGTATTCAAATGTGTGCACAGGCCTCGACATACATAATTCTTATGTGGACTTCCCCAGCTTCCAGTATTTGTGCTAAGCTAGGCTAAACACATGGACACACAGACAGCAGGGAACATGAGGATTTACTGAAATGTAAAGTTTAATACAAAAATGTTTTTATGTCTTAAAATAAGACACTGGCTGAATATTTGCCCAATGATTGGCTGTCATTAGATCAGCTGATCAGAGCTCTTATTGGTTGAAACCAGATGATCGATGTTAAAAGTTTTTGTTGTTTTTCAGATGAAGGGTATTTCTTAATCAGAAAATATTTTGAATGTTTGAGTCTTCTACCTCCAATGTCTTCATGAGTTCTGTATGTGAGACGGACATGAAAAGAAGTTTTATTTATTGTCATTGTAACATGTACAATGAAATTATGTTTGGAGCCGAGGGGTGCACAGGTGCTGCCCCCGCGGGCAACGGGGGGGGGGTTCAGTGTCTTGCCCAAGGACACTTCAACATGTGGACTGCAGCACCAAGATTTGAACCTTCAACCTTCCAGTTGGGAGATGACTGCTTTACCCACCGCACCACTGTCGCCTCCCCGAAGGGTTTTTGTGTAGCATATGTGTTGCAGACTTAAGAGCATTTAACATGTATCCTTTCAAAATAAAAGCTCCTGGAACTAACTAACACTCAAATCATACCACAAATATTTGTTCGTTCTTCTCAGTCACAGGACCACAGGTGTAACATAGTTTGAAAATGTCATTAACCATAACGCCGAGTTCTCTCCGGCTTAAGTCCCTGAAGTGCCTCACACACTTCAACACTCCTGCTTGACTGTTTGAAGGAGATTTTCTGATGTCTCAGCATCAGGGGAGTTTTTATAGTCTATATTAAAATCGTCCAAAGAACTCAAGTTTGAAAAGGATGTGGCTTTCTTCCTTAATGACATGTAAGCAGCTAGCTAACTTGCATGTTGGCATCATTAGCAAGCTAATGAGCATGTGAGCAGAGTAGAACGCGAGCAAGCGGTGAGCAGCAGTGGAGGGATTTGGGGCAGAATGCAAAATGGCTTTTTTAAAAAGGGGCAGAGTATTGCCCTGTATCCCACTCCAATTTTGCTCTGGTACAGCTCATACCACAAGCCTGAAGCATGCCCAAGACCAACCCAGAATGTGCTTGTCTTGCACAGTCATCTAACTCTTTTCAGTCAAAATTTGGCTGTTGTGAGGTCAATAATGGGGTTCCTAAAGTACTTTAAAAAGGAAACTGAAAAGGTCATACAGGTGTACTGTGTATTTTTATTTAATTAGGCCCATTGATTTTTTTTGAATATTTACATATGAATTTGTGTGTGATAATTGTTGTTACAGGGGCCTAACTAATAAATAAATACATGGAACAAGTGAACAGCTCATCACTCCACTCTGCTCATATACTCAGAAAAACTAATATTTCTGCCGGTCTGGGGGACACGGGGCTTCGACAGCACCTTTCCACATTAAGGCAAGTTTTGGAACAGATTCTTGAACAAAAATATTTGGAAACGGTTACGTACTATAGCTTTAAGATAGCCTACATTTTCGGTGGTACCTTCCATAAATAGGCCTTGATACACATAAAATTGCTTTTGAGCACAGCTTCTCCCCATTCAAGCATTCTATGGAATAATCTGGATTTTACATACAAGAATAAGACCTTTTTTTGGAGTGGTATGATATTTGCCATTTAATTTGTGAGCAAAAAGGGGAATTAGCTAGCCACTAAGAGTTTATTCAATTAAATGAATGACATTTTCTCAGTCTTAGCACTCCAAAGTGTTTAAACATATATCCCCCTAAATTACAGTCTCTCTTACAGCATCATTATCATATGAACCTTTCCTACGAGTAATTCCTAGTTTGATATTTGGTGGAAAAGATCTTGAGGGGTGTTGCTGTAAAATATATTTCTTACCATAAATTCGATATAAATAAAATCCAATTAATTACCATGAAAAATATGTTTGTGTAAAGGCGTTAAATTGGTTAAAATAAAATAAAGTGAATTAAATGAAAAACTCGTGTAAGCCTCCACTGACCGGTGGGTGGCGATGGGTGGTCCAGAGTGGATTAAGAAGGGGGTAGGGTTAGATACAGATGAAGAAATTTCTAAATTCTTATTGGCTGCGGAGAGGGGCGTGCAGCTGTGACGTATAAGCGGCAGCAGTGAGGAAAGATGGCGGCGGTGACCAGAGGCTCCTTCAGTGTATTCAGACGGCTGGTGAGGAAATAAAGTTTGATGTGTCAGTGTTTAAATGTTTATGTCTATCTGAGTCTGATGCTAACGAGGAGCCAGTGCTAAAGTGACGCCATAATTCTGTTATCAGTGCGAATTTCTTAGCTTAGTGTGTGACCTTTTTCTATTAACGCCCGCTGCCATATTAAATACGTAGCTAATGCTAACAGAATGAATTAAAAACAACAAACAGCTGCTAAGGCCGGTTCACCTGCAAGATGCTAACTATTAACATGCTAACATTTTTCTGTGTAAAGGCGTTAAATAGGTTAAAATAAAATAAAGTGAATTAAATGAAAAACTCGTGTAACCCTCCACTGACCGGTGGGTGGCGATGGGTGGTCCAGAGTGGGTTCAGAAGGGGAGCCAGTGCTAAAGTGACGCCATAATTCTGTTATCAGTGCGAATTTCTTAGCTTAGTGTGTGACCTTTTTCTATTAACGCCCGCTGCCATATTAAATACGTAGCTAATGCTAACAGAATGAATTAAAAACAACAAACAGCTGCTAAGGCCGGTTCACCTGCAGGATGCTAACTATTAACATGCTAAACGTTCTGTTAGCATGCGGCTTCAGTTAGCATCCTGCTGCTGGGTAACAGCTGGCAATTCCAATAGAGACGGTAATGACCAATACTGCAGGGTCAGTTAATTTTCAGTGAATCTTTTGGAATTTTTGATGTTGTTGGTATCAGGTCGTTCTGGTCTAATGGAGCTGATACGTTACGGAGGCTCAGAAGTGCCAAAACAAGTTTAGCAGTTCAGCGGTAGAAAGGTGCATGAGGAGGACAACCTGTTTCTAATATCACCGTTGAGCTGCCGTCATGTGTTGGTTTGTCACTCTGGCTTTGTTTTGCACTTGCTGTTTTTCTGTTTATGGTATTTTTAAACTGCACGTTCATCGTGTTTCTGTGTGATTTAACACTTCTCATCCTGACATGAACTACTGCTGACTACGTGTGCCTTGTGCGACTTATAAACATATACAACTATAAAAACAGTCCAGTTAAGAAGCAAGTATCACTGTCCAGCAACATACTGGTGGTCTACCACCCTCCATAACCAGAGATCCCTTCTCCACATTTCCTTGTGTTCTGCATGAAGCAGAAATGTTTCTGAGACTTCACACCCAGAGCCAACCATCCATCAGCCTCTGAAATCTGGTGTTTCTTCCACTCTCGCCAGTGCCATGTCTTTCACTGTAACATGTGAGCCTGCCCTTGCTATGTCGCTGCTTCTCCCTGAGCTCTGATCCTTTCAGGGAAACTGAGAAGGAGTGACTGCTGCTGGGTCTGAACCGACGTTAGCACCAGAGGCTAAATGTTAGCGAGCTCAGCTGCCAGGCTTTGTGTCCTAGGACGGTAGAGGCACTTTTTCAAACGCTGGCCAAGGTTTGTTGTATTGTTGTAGAGCAGCTGTTGCTCTGCTGCTTATCAGACTGCAGATATCTGAGCAAACCACTGGTGGTGTCTGACCTGTACCATGGTGTCGTCATCCTATACAGCATCATACTATCAGCAACATATGTTCTCCTTGTTGCTGTCTTGCATGTGTCTGCTATGTAACCCTGCTGCTATCAGACACCACACTGACTGTGCAGGTTTGAAAGCAGAACACAAACACTTACCAAAAATGATACTCATCTGATTATCATCATTATCGTGGGAAGAAGTTTTGTGTGATAATTATCATGATGTTTTTGTCACATGGCAACTGTGGTTCAGTGGGTAGAGCAGTTGTCTCCCAACCAGAGAGTTGGGAGTTTTAATCACAATGCCTCCAGTCCAAGTGTCCTTGGGCAAGACACTGATCCCCCAAGTTGCCCCCAGTGGTTAGAGCCATCGGTGTGAGTTGGCACCACAGATGGCTGCCTTGGTTCTGTACCAGAAACAGATTCCTTGTGTGTAACATACTTGGCCAAATAAAGGTGATTATTATTATGTGATGATTTTAAAAAATGACTCCAGTGACTAACCAGTTATCAGAATAGTTGCTAATCAGTTTTCTGTTGGATTAATTGGTTCATGTTTTCAGTTGCTGTCTGCTCTCTTCCTGTCAGCTGAGTCAGCAGTACCGCCGCCAATGTTTCCAGCTGCAGAATTTCAGATCTGACCGAACTCTGCAGCAACTCACCTTCAGATGTGACAGAAATCTCCAGGTGTTTGACAGCAGGACGCTGCACTCTGGCGTCGGTAAGTCCAGGCCAGCAGGGACCAAAGTCCTGAAACGTAGTGAGTTTTTAACCCAAACCTCAGTTTTTGGATTCCTTCCATTTTTTTTTTCTTAGATGCTTCAATGTGGTTTTAAGACTACCATCCATTATTTATACCATTATTCCAGAATTGGGTCATGGGGAATTGGAGCCAATCCCAGCTGACACTGGGCGAGTGGTGGGGTCCCCCCTGGACAGGTCAACAGTCTGTCACAGGGCTGACATGTAGACAAACAACCGGCTTGAACCCGGAACCTTCTTGCTAACCACTGTGCCGCCTGTTTTAAGACTTTTACACTGAAAATTTTTGAATTACAGCCAGAGTTTGTTCAGATCTGGTCTGTCCAGTTGCATGTTTTCAGGACTTTAAGAAGTTGACCGGTGTTGGACCCTCCACCTGTTTATTCATTCTTTCAAATGTCATATCTGTCCAGAAATGGTGAGAGGAAATGGAAACCTGCCAGGGCAAAGTGTTCTGGTGTCCTCTGGGTTTTGGATCTGGATTTCTGGTCCAGTTTTTGTTTAATCACTCACCCGTTTGAGAGGTTCAGAGTTTTCTGCATGTTCAGACCATCCAGATCAATATGTTTCACTACACAGTGGTGTAGATTTAGAGGTTAACAACCAAGTATCTTTATACACCCACTCCAGTCCATCAGTCCACATGCAGCTCTACACAGGAAGTGATCCTGATGTTGTTGTGTTTGCAGTGAGTCGAGGACCCATTGTCCAGTTCAAACTGTCTGATATTGGAGAGGGAATCATGGAGGTGACGGTGAAGGAGTGGTATGTGTTGAGATCACAAAGCTACACTACTACAACTAGACTGTGTGTAAATTTCTGAAACCACTTAAATAAGGAGTTTGCACAAAACCACAGAGACTAGAGAAACTCCTGAAATCACGGACACTCTCCAAGACCCATAAAGCCACCAGAGGTCACAGAAATTACCTCGGTACCACAGAAGATATACGGAGACCTCAGGAACTACTTGAGACCAGTAGAACCCGAGAACACAGACTCTACTGAGACTGACCACACTAGTTCCACAGCAGAACTGCTCTGAGACCTCGGAAACTCCCAGACACCAATAAACGTATCCAAGACCACAGAAAAGACCTATAACCACTAAATGTTCTGAACCCACCACAACTACTGACATAACTATGAAGAGCAGTTCCCACTCTGTCCTGTGTTTCCTGTTGGTTCTCGCCTGAATGAAATGTTGCTATGTTCAGGTATGTGAAGGAGGGGGACAAGGTTTCTCAGTTCGACAGTATCTGTGAGGTCCAGAGCGACAAGGCATCGGTCACCATCACCAGCCGCTACGACGGAGTCATCAGAAAACTCTACTACGATGTGGACGCCACCGCCTTAGTGGGCAAACCGTTGGTTGACATCGAGACGGAGTCTGGTTCAGGTGAGACACAGCATCAACAACTGGGGTTAGTCTGCAACCACGTTAAGTTTGGGTCACTTAGTTCAGGTTTGAAACCCCCTAAAACCTGGCCGTTGTTGTTCAGAGGTGATCCAGGAGGAGGACGTGGTGGAAACGCCCGCCATGGCCCGAGAGGAACACACCCACCAGGAGATCAAAGGTCACAAGACCCAGGCCACACCCGCTGTCAGACGCCTCGCCATGGAGAACAACGTAAGTCTGTCCTCTGTCTCTCTCCAGTGTTCCTGGTCTGTCCCCAGGCCTCCCAGTGTTTCCTCACTAGTCTGTCTATCTGCAGCCTGTGTTCCCAGTGTAACCTGTTTCTGGTTTGACTGGTTTGTCTCTAAGATTAAGCTCAGTGAGGTCCTGGGGACAGGGAAAGATGGTCGGATCCTGAAGGAGGACATCTTGAACTTCCTGGCAAAGCAGACCGGAGCCATCTTACCTCCAACCCCGTCCCAGGAGATCCAGACTCCGGGTCCAGGTCCGGCTCCTGCTCCTGCTGCCTCTGCCAGGCCTGTGAGCACTCCAGCAGCCACCAAACCTCTGCCCAAATCACCCAAACTGGTCTTCACTGGCAAGGATGTCACCGAGCCCCTCAAAGGTTACACTTTGATGTCTTCTATAATGTGCTTTTGTGTGTTTTTGGGAAAATGTTGAGGCAACACAGTTGTACCAGATTGCACTGTTCATATGCATTCTGTGCTGAAACAGACAGAAAGAGAGAAAAGCCCCAGAGTCTGGGTGAGACCCTGGATGGAGAGGGGGGGGACAATGTGGACTCTGTCAGTCCTGTTTTGTCTTGGGCGACACCTATGTCGATGTCAGTCGCTAAAATCAAACGTGTGTAAAGAGTCTTTCTGAGAACGACTGGCTGAGAAGATTACAGTCTTTACATATTACACACTATCTGCAGACTGTCAGCACTGACGGACTCAGACAGGCCCTGAGTCAGTCCAGCTGGGTCCGATCAGTCATCACAGGCCGTTTGTAATTGGCTGTGCAGTAGTTGTGTCCCTGCAGACCAACAGCCCCACAGATGTGAACACCTCTTTAGACTGGAGTCTGTCTCTGACTCCTACTGCTTGGCTGTTTTGTGTTTCCAGGTTTCCATAAAGCCATGGTGAAGACAATGATGGCAGCTCTGAAGATTCCTCACTTCGGGTACTGTGACGAGGTGGACCTGAGCCGCCTTGTGGCTCTGAGAGCTGAACTCAGGCCAGTGATGGAGGGTCGAGGGGTCAAACTGAGCTACATGCCCTTTTTTATCAAGGTACAACCTGAACAGAGGGACAAGAGCATAGGCCTGATGGAGCACTCCATGTTGATGCTGATTGGTTGAATGTTGAGTGTTAATGCTGTGCTCTGATTGGCCCAGGCTGCCTCTCTCGGCCTCCTCCACTTCCCGATCCTCAACGCCTCCGTGGATGAGGGCTGCCAGAACATCACCTACAAGGTAAAGATGTTTTACTTAGTTTGAATGCAGCATTGTTTAGCTCTTCATTCCCTTTGTTTAATGTGGCTTATAGAAACAAGTGTGCTCAGGCAGCTGTTTTATATTTTATCATGTACCGGTAACAGATGACTGCTATTTCTCAATAACCTTCATGTTCTCATCAGCATTATGATTATGTTGACACTCATTCATTGTAAATGTACCTGAAAAAGCTTTGCGTGTTTGCGGTTTGTGCTTGACCTTGATGCAGTTAGATTAAGGAGAGTGGTGACGTCTCCACTGACTCTATAAGGGCAGCACCACAGAGTCACAGACCTGGCTGCTATCTTTCTAAGTAAAAAATCAACAGCAATAATTATACTTGCTGCATTTTAATTTAACGACATGTCAAAACATATTTTACAACCTTTTTGACTGTTTCTCTCAAATATTGGGTCACTTTAATAATTAGGTACCAAGCTAACTAACTAAATTAGCTGAGCTAGCGGAAACAACTGAACACTGAAATGGTTTGCATGGCTGTACAAATCATTAAAAGCAGCAACTTGCTGATAAATCCCACTGTTCCAGAAAACGATGGATCTGAATCAATGTTTGAGTCACGTGACCTTCTGCTGTTTTTGACGCCTCAGTGTCGCAACTCTTCTGTCTTAAGGGCTCTGGACACATTGTTTCTTACACATTTCACCTCTAAAGCAAACTGTCATTTGTTGTACAGTAACCTGGAATGTTGTGAACTGTCCAGAGAAGCTTCTGCAGATGTTTGCTCAGATTCATCTCCTCTGAGGCTCCTGGCTGCTCAGCTGCTTGTTGATGTTTGTGTTTCGCAGGCGTCCCACAACATCGGCCTGGCGATGGACACCAGTCAGGGCCTGCTGGTCCCTAATGTGAAGAATGTCCAGCTGCTCAGTGTGTTCGACATTGCTCAGGAGCTGAACCGTCTGCAGGCCCTGGGAGCTGCCGGACAGCTGGGAACCGCTGACCTGACCGGAGGGACCTTCACCCTGTCCAACATTGGATCCGTGAGTCCAGCAGAAACAGAATCTGAACCCTGAGTTTGCTGTGGAACTGGACTAATGTAAACCTGTTGTGTGTTTGTGCTTTAAACCAGATTGGAGGGACGTATGCCAAGCCGGTGATTCTTCCTCCTGAAGTTACCATTGGAGCACTGGGAAAAATCCAGGTGGGTTCCAAATGTTTCCAGGCACTGGGAACATGGGGACTGTCTGACTGTGGCTCTGGACTCCACAGACCTGCACAGTGTGTTCACACCAGGACACACAGGAGGTGTGAGTCTGTATGGAGTCACTAATCCTCTGCTCTGACCAGACAGCTGTTTTCTCAGGTGTCTGACCTTATGGAACATTTGCACGTCTTCGTCTTATCACTGACTTGATCGTGAGCTTTGACAGACAAGTGTGCAGGTTTGTGTGAATATGTCGTAGCCCATGACAGACTTGACGGAGCCGCTTCAGCCGGCACTGGTCAGCATTTCTACAGACCTGTGTCCATATGGATAACGCTGCAGCAAAGACGCATGGGGCAGGGGAGTAAGAGCCAAAACATATGGCGCCCTTCTTTCTTCTTATTCAAAGCAGGGTCGTTTTGAGCCTAAATTAATTCTTAATTAAATGGAATTGTGAGCTGTCCAGAGTCCCAGCCCCAGTGGATTTACTCAGTGTCTCTCAAACATTGGTTTCTGTTGGTTCATTCGGTCTTTGGAGGTTTTCAGATTCAGCACAAACTGAAACTAAATCCCAAAGAAATGAGTCAAAAGTTCCCAGATTTCATAAAACTGTGCTTATTTCTGTTCAGGTTCTTCCTCGGTTTGACGCCGGTGGGCAGGTGGTCCCAGCTCACATCATGAATGTCAGCTGGTCGGCAGACCACCGCATCATTGATGGAGCCACCATGTGCCGCTTCTCCAACCTGTGGAGGGAGTACCTGGAGAACCCAGCCAGCATGGTGCTGGACCTCAAATAAATGGACATATTTCCCATCAGCCTCAGGAGGATGGAGGCGCCGTACCAACAGACTGTTACGCCTCCTCCTACTACCTTCGCTCCATCTCTCTGTTGGAGGCTGTCATGTTCACTCACTTTCATTTCCTTGTTGCCTTTGAGCAACAGCCTGTCAGAGGGTCAGGCTGTCAATCATGTTTCCGTGACGACCAGTCACACAGGTGGAGGTTAGATGTAGCTAACTTTGAAAGATTTTTGCTTTAAAATGCAGAGTTGATGGTGGCGACACTGAGTTTCTTCATGTTTTAGAGGAGAGTTTCTACTTGTGGTGGATGATGGGTCCGTCTGCGGGCCGGGCTCATACGAGACTTTTATCTGGTAGGAATGAACCTAGGGTTCAGATAAACAGTGGAAAAGGTCCATGCAGTGTTTGTTTTGGAGCTTAACTAACTTTAAGATGATCACAGCAACAGCACGTAGAACTGAAAGAATCAGTTTATACATGAAACAGCGTGCAGCTCTGACGGTGTTTTTTTCTTTTTCTAGACAAACAGTGAAAAAACTTTGTCTAGAACAGACTGTGAAACAGCAGGGTTCTCTCCTTTTTGTGGTGGAGCCGAAGAACATGTGACGATGTCACTTTTTTTTTTTAAACTGTTCAAAGATAAAACTGTTACATATAATCCACAGATGAATCAATCTCCAATTAATTATTGGTGCTCACAAATTTCCCACAAGTTGTCTTATGAAAATGAATAGGATCATGTCACATGATCATCACCTGCAGGTCATCACACCTGAACAAACTGATTCGGTGAAGAGCTCTAGAACAGACACTAATGGACTCTGCTGAGATCCTCCAACACAGATGCAGATGAAAATATTAACACTAATGTAGACCAGTTGTGAGCTGTGCCTTGATGGTTGCAGTGAACATAGCTTCTGCCCGTGGTGGTGTAGGGGCAGCACACCGAGTGAGAACATCAGCCACAGCCTGTAAAACTGGTCTGTGTTCTGTAGTGCTGGAAATTTCCTGACAATTCTGAAATGAATCAGACATGCTGTGAAATTGGGTCATTTGGGTTCATCCGGATCCTGAAACTGGCACTATGACCCCTTGATCTTAAATGTGAGCAGCTGGTCTGAGATCAGAACACAGATGGGGCTCATTGCTTTGCCGTTGATGGACTGAAACATGAAGAAACACCAGGATAGTCCTTTAAAGTTATGTTGTTTTCACTGTTTGTTTCTCTAGGGAGCAAAGTTTCAACACTAAATCTCTGTCCATGTACTGTACACCTGTGTCATGTGACCAGATTTTCTCTTGTGATTCAGTGAAATTAAATGAAACCGAGTGGAACAGGACTTGTTATCAGACATGTCGATGAAAGTGGGACTGAAGCCCTGAGACGTCGGTGGAGCATTGTCCTGATGATCCGGCTGTAATGAGACTGAACTTTGTGCAGTGAGCAGCAGAAAACACAGAGAATAATCATTCATGTGATGTCTCTGCAGCCACATCATCATTCATGCTTCAGCTTGTGTTGATACCTTGTAAGGATGTGCTATTTTCCACAAAGTCCATCCAGAGACTAACAGATGGCCTAGGGTGGTTAATAACTGGTGGACAACAGTGGCGGTCTACAGCACAGAGCGATGAGCTGGACCAGGGTCTGGACTCACACACAATATGGTGAGGACACCACACTCACTGGTGCTGCTGGTCTCTGGACAGGGTTTGTGGGAATCCACAACAACATACGAAACCACCAGCTGCATCCTTTAATGGTCGGAACATGTTTGAATGTTTTGACACTCCCTGGAGGTAAGCTGCAGTCACACACCTGTGCATTTCCACCTGAGCCCCAGTGCGCACATTAATGAACTTGCTTTATTCTCAGTCTGCCATCAGTACCAGGACAGGTCTAGTATCCTGAGTTCCTGCTGTGAGATGTGACACAAACAAGTCCTGGTGTGAATTAAAACCAAGCTGAAAATGTAAACAGCAGGTGGTGCTGTGCAGAACTCTGTGCTGCTCTGAAGACACTGCTAAGGCAGTTGGACTGAACAAACTATTAGTGGTTGTTTCTGGTTCTCTGATTTGGTTTGTGTGCTGACCGTGGTGCGTTGGAGGTCTGGCTCGGAAACCAGAGACCAGCAGGCTGTTGTCGGTGGAGAAGTCCATCTGGTCCTGGTCTCTTAGCTTTCATCTTGCTGGTGTAAGCCCGACCTGTCAGTACTGGATCTGTCCTCTCCGGCAGACCAGAACTGACTCGTCTCTACCTGATCCTTCCTCTCCATGGACCAGGACCTGATTTGTCCTGTGTGCCAGATGAACCGAATCAGAACCATCCCATGTGTCCTGATCTGTCGTCTCTGCAGGTCACAAATGATTCCTGGATTAAAACGGACAAATGTCAAAGTGAAGCTACAGACGATTATTAATTAATGTGATCTGTTGTGAAGCCTGGCTGCTGCTGAAGGTCTAACTGTAGACCTGATCCTTCCTGTGGTCTTTGGTTTTATGATTATCCTCCTCTCACAAAGTATTTGGATCTAACTTGTGATCGGTTTCCTGTTTCCACATCCTGATGAGTGACGTCAACTCAGTTTTTGGTCTTCACCAGCTCCTCTGTAGCTGCTGAAGCCTAATGCTGAGATGATTCAGGCCTGATGGTGAGTTGCTGCTTTTCTTCCATTAAACTCCAGGTCTTCCTCCCTGATGTTTCAGTTACTTCTCCCAGGCTTCTTCAATGCCCTGGTGACTGCTGGGTAAACGGCACACACTGGTTGTATGTTACATGACTGAGTGCTTAACATGGTTTTTCTGCTTTGTGTTTTTGTTTTTAGCACCAGACACAGTGTAAAGATGGAAAAACAGTTTGTATTTTTGGGAATTGATCAGATTTCAGACTTGTGAAAATGATTCAAGTTGTGAGCATTTGAAACATGGTGAGAAACTTCAAATAGGTGTATAATCTTAAAATGGTATGTAGTAATTTTTCAGCTGGCTGCGATAACACACGCCGCATAGTTTTACACAACACCTGGGAAATCATTTTGAGTAATGGTAAAAAAGAAATGAGGCATTGATGTAGAGTATGTTTCATAATGACAATATAAAGCACAATTTAAATACTTGAATTGAAAAAGGCCACAATAGGTGAATATTTCCTCCTTTAGTGTCCTTTTAATACATCCACTGTCACTGGATGAAGTGTGATTTCAGCCTGTTTCCTCCTCCGACTGTGTGGTGCTTAATGTTGTTTCTGTCCCAGTTGTTATGCTTTTATTAAACCTGAGCATAAAAACATGTGACTGTGAGGGTGGGGTGCTGAATTTCAAAGTAAAAGACTTCACTGGCATCATGTTTGCAACAGGTGCAGCTCAGTCTGTTGAATCACAGAAGCAGAACTGAACTGGCTTTGAGAGCCTGAAAGTGTCTTCATGTTTGAAGCAAACATCAGTAGATTTGTTTCTTCATGACGTCCTTATATCGCTTCCTGCCAAATTTACATTTAAACGTGTTTCTGTAAATGGTATTAACTAAATGTAACAATAAAACCTTTGTATACTGATGTGCACGTAAACTGGCAGAAACCTGCATCGGATTTATTCTGAAATGAGTGAATGTAGCTGCGGGTTGTGTTTTTTTTCAGCAGGGTTCACGGACACATTTGCTCTAAATACGGTATTTATAGTATATAGTACTTAGTTTTTACTACTGTACTTTAGTGGTATCACACTGTACTTTAGCTGTATCCTTTACTTTAAATATACCTTATTGTACTGTAAGTATACCTCACTCTAAATGTACAGCTGTCACGTAAAGTGTTTTAATGTTTTGATGTAAAATGAACTCAGTGTCATGTGACTACTCATGCCATGTGACCTGGAAGCTAAAATTATCCAGCAGCAGGTCTGAGGTCAGATTTCAGCAGAGGAGACGCACCATGGTGGACGGGTGCTGCACAAGGTGAGGACTGACACACCACCCCCCACCACACTATACTGCAACTATGTACTGCTGAGATACTACAGTAGTAGTCTGGGGTCAGGCTGCCACATTGAAAGTTTTCAGTAAGGCTCAACTGAAAAGAACAATGATAAATTAGAAACAAAATGTGTCTGAACATGGATCTAGAGCTTCACCAGGTGACCGCAGTACTACAGTAGCTGGGCAGTACTTTTGTGAAGTTTTACAGCATATAATTTTCCAGCATTACCTGGAAAGTAACTAAGTACAAGTGTGTTAAGGTACATGTACTTTGCTTAAGTATTTTCCTTTCATGTTACTTTATACTTGTATTGCAGTACATTTCAGAGGGTATTACCCGTGCTGGACTACATCTTTCTGACAAATCAGTTTTTCTTAACACTTGAATATCTGCAGATGTTTAAAAATTCAGTATTACAACATATATATTTAGATTAGGTAAATTTAAGCTAATATTCAAAAATAATTAAAAATTAAATTAAAACTGTTTTTATGCATTTTTGTGTGTGTGTGGGTGTGTGTGTGTGTGTGTGTGTGTGTGTGTGTGTGTGTGTGTGTGTGTGTGTGTGTGTGTGTGTGTGTGTGTGTGTGTGTGTATATTAACATGTTTTTGTATCTAAGATTGTGTGTTTATTTTGGTTTTAACAAAATTTTGAAACAATTTTGAAGTCAAAGCATGAAAGCAACATTTAATCATAAAAATTATACTTCATCCAGAAGTAAAATGTTACTGAAGTTATGGTCTGTTCACTAACAAATTCGTGCAGATTCACTGATTATTAATCAATAATCATGATGGTGAGAGGCAGGATCAGGGTCAGAGGTCATCTCATCTGTGCACTGTGACATCAAGTGGGTAACAGGAAGTGATCATCATGGTGGGCGTGGCTGTGTGCAACTCGGTCAGCTCCATCAAAGCTCTGTGGGAGACCAGGATCCGGAGAAAGAAGGAGGAGCAGGAGGAGGAACAGGAGCAGAAGAGACGGCGGAAGATCGGGGGCGGGGCCACAGGCAGGTCAGACTCCGCCCACTCACATGAGACGCGTTTTCTTGGCTAAAAGTCCAGGTCAGCTTTTAATGTCTCTTGTTGCTCAGGCTCAGTTTTGGCATTTGGGAGGATCGGGCAGCTCTGACTCGACTCAGACAGAAGCTGCAGACGGAAGACGGACGACTGATCCTCCGAATCGAACAGGAAGAGTGGAAGGTAATGTGAGACAAATTTAACTAGTCAGACCCCAGAACTACTGATATCTGATGTGGTTATCTGATTGTCAGATTTCTTACTTTTCTAGTCTTTGCCAAGATGTCTGGTCCAGCTGAGTCAGGTCCAGGAGTGGCAGATCCACCGGACCGGACTGCAGAAGATCCCTCCTTTCATCTCCAGCTTCCAGTACCTTCTGGTTCTTGATCTGTCCCGCAATGGGGTCAGCGAAATCCCCAAACAGATAGGTCAATATGTCCCCACTTCCACTAATAATTAAGACAGAAAACACAATTTGCTTCTTACTGTACCAAAGATTGAAGGGGGCCCTGTAGGTTTAACTGGCAGCCCAGTTCTGTCTCAGTGTGTTGAGTCTTCTGCTGTTCTGGTTCTGTTCTCAGGAAAGCTGACCCGGCTCAGAGAGCTGCTGCTGAGCTACAACAGGATCCAGTTTGTTCCTGAGGAGCTGAGTTGTTGTGAGAGTTTGGAGAGATTGGAGCTGGCCATGAACCAGGACCTGGATCACCTGCCAGACCAGGTACAGGCCAAAACCTAAACCAGCTTCCCTACCAGGTACAACTCAAATGTAAGCCAGTTTCCAAAGGAGATGTAAACACAAACATCAACACCACAAAACCAGAGCATTCAAACCAGATGATGCCCAAGCCTGAAGCAGCTTCCTGACCAGGTGCAAACCAAAACCAGTTTTATAAACTGATCTTTAGTTTCCAAAGCAGGTGTGAACATAAACCTAAACCATTTTTCCACCCAGATGAAGACCAGAACCTTCTGAACAAGGAAGGAGTACAAATCTAAACCTGATTCCTAACCTGGTACAAACGTGGTTCCTCAAAGAGATGTGAATTCAGACCTAAACCCGCTTTCAACTTAAACTAACCTCCCAACCTGTGTTACAGGCACTTTCCGGACCAGGTGTGAACATGACCCTGAACCAGATTCTACAAAGGGTTTGAACAGAGAGCTAAAACACCTTTCTCACCGGGTATTAACCAAAACCCCTGACAGCTTTTAAACCAAAGCAAATCTAAACTTCTGCTAGCTCCCTAAGCAGGTACAGTATGAGTACAAACCTAAACCTGCTTCAAAATAAGGGGTGAACACGGTCTTAGACCAGCTACAGGTATAACTTGATACCATAGGCACCTTTCAAACCAGGTGGAACTCAGACCAGGTTTCTGACCATGCAGGCCTGAATCCACAGAGAGCTCTGAATCAGCTGATCTGAGGTCTGTTCTGTCCTCTGTACTGTAGTTCAGGAACCTGAAGAAGCTGCAGCACCTGGATCTGTCCATGAATGACTTCACCTGCCTGCCAGACTGTGTGGTCGCACTTCCGGCACTGGAGTGGCTCGACATGGGAGGAAACCGACTTCAGCACTTACCGGAAGACATACACAGGTGGGTTAAGGGCAGCATCATCCTCTGAACCCTGCCCACCCCAACCACCAGCTGATGAACAGTGAGATATGTCTGTCCTCAGGATGGAAAAGCTGCACACACTATGGTTGCAGAGGAACGAGCTCAAGAATCTCCCAGAAAACATCAGCAGGATGGCGAGTCTGGACACACTGGTCCTCAGCAGCAACAGGCTCAGCGACATCCCCCCTCTGATGGAGGACATGTCGAACCTCAGGTCAGTCTCCCTAACTTCAGGCCAGCTGCTGTGTCAGTTGGTCTCTGCCCAGTCACAACTGGCTTTTGTATTTGAACAGGTTTGTGAATTTTCGGGACAACCCTCTGACTCTGGATGTGACGCTGCAGCCCAAGAAGACAAATGCTGAGGATGATAGCGATGATGGAGATGACAGAGAGATGTTTGGACTGGAGTTCATGCAGATGTACATCCAGGAGGCTAGAAAGAGGGCGTATGCTGTGCAGAACATGCACAGTTAGTACCAGTGCTTTATATCATATGATACTAATGAACCAGCTGATACTGACTGACTGGACTGCACCACTAAAATGATTTCACATAAGTCTGGTCACTGTCAGCACTTTGGGGGATATTTACTAATACTTTAATGATGTTTTCAGGATTTGTGGAACTGTTGGCATTAAATCTCATGAACATTAACACATCAAGTTTGATTTGTTTGGACCTGTCAATGACCTGTAGCTGCCCAGAGCTCCTCCACGGCTGGCTATGTGAAATGAGAAACCCCTTCTTCTAACCTTGGCTAGGTGGCAGGCAGGGCTAATTTACAGACTGCCCTTGGACACCACAGGTTAGAGAAGCTGGAATAAGGGCTGTAGGCAGCAGAGGGTCATGGATGGAGGGTATAGCCGATAGACGCCGCGTCCCGGCCCACTGTCACTGGGTTTATCAGACACTGTGGGAGATCTGAGTTAATGCAGCTATCTAACTGTAATGTAAAAACCCTGAATCAAAACTGACTTCATGATGTCTTGCTACATTTGTCTTGTCTCCAGTTTCCTGTTCCAGTTTCAGTTTGTGAACTGACGTTCATGACGGAAGTGGAATGACCCTGGAAGTTTCAGGATTCACACTGAACCCCATTCTGGTCTTTTTTTTTCTGTTTGTAACAGGATCAAATGAAGTCTGATTGTTCCCATCTGTACTTCCTGGCATGTGTGCCTGGGGCTCAGGTTTCACATTCAGGCCATTTATAGAGACATGAAAAAAGATTATTCGGTGTTTTTGATGAGAGCAAAGACCAGAGGGATGTCTAAAGAATCAAAAACTGGCTTTGACCCTCGGTGGGTCTAGACCCGCAGGTTGGGAACCATATTACTCCGTTTTTGTCCATACAGTGACATTTCTGCTGAAATAAGAAAGAACGTAGAATGTTCTGCCTTCTCTTGTAGCCATGTTGTTACAGTAACACTTAACATGCACGTTAATAGTTTTTGCAGAATCCTGTGTCTAAATCATATTTGGTCATTGACAAAAGTTCAAGTTGTTTATTTCTAGTGGAAATGTCTGATAACATGTTTTGTGTTCTGAACGTTTTAGAACTGAGCGACGACTCTTCAGACTGAAGCAGCGTCTGTGTTTCTGCTCTTTCAACACTTGTCGAGACTCTTCATTTGTGTGTTCCTGTGTGTGGACGGTGAAATATTCAGGCAATGTGAAAAACAGTGTTTTATTAGTTGATGTGTTTGTTGTCTCAACACCCTCTGACATCTTTTACTATTTCCAGCTGTGAACAGATGTTTATGTGTGAGTTGATGGTTTAAATGAAAGTTTTTAAAAAGAGCCACGATCAGAATCAGCTGTTGATTGGACTTATGCTTTCAAACAAATGTTTAGATGCAGGAGCTGAACATTCAGACTGAACACCACCACATCTTCAGTCGAACAATAAAGAGTTTCTTAGGAACACTAGCTCTGATTCTCATTTCTTTGTAAACTAATCCATAATCATCTGTCAATCATTTGAATAGATTCATCAATTGGTCTAGAAAATGTCGGAAACCAGTTAAAAAAAGAAAAAGAAAAAAAGAAAAAACGGTCAACTCAGTGTCCCAGACTCAGATGTGACATCTTTTAAGTGTCTTGTTTTGTCCAACATCCAAAGCGATTCAGTTAAAAACAGCAACTTGGATACATGGAAAAACTTGACAGCACGGATAAAGTGAGTCTTTGAAAACAAACTCAAAATTACCCAAAACAGCAACTGACAATCAGCTGTTGAATTGTTTCAGCTGCAGTCAGAGCCTCAGGAGGGGGTGGAGGACTCGGCGGAGGGTACAGCGGTCAGTAAGACATTCTCCAGAGTGACCTGAGGATCAACGTAATGCGTCAGTTTGCCACTGAATCCTTTGGTCTGAAGAAAGTCAAGTCGGCCGCTGTCAATGAGGAGTTTGCAGAGACGACCGACGTGCTCGCGTTCAGCTGCTGACAGAAACCTGCACAGAACAAAAACTCATTAGTGCTGATACATTAGGAACAGTGTTCAGAAAAACACATTTCTGGGAAACTGCACTGGGCCGATGTTCAGAATGTTCTGAGCAGCAGCACAGATAAGTTCAGTTTCATGTCATATGAATCTGCAGCAGCTTGTTTCGGATACGTTTACTCTTTAAAGTGTCGGGTCGCCTCTTATCTTCCTTACTGTCCTGCATCAGTGTGAGCTCTGAATCCAGAGAACAGGTTGTGTCAGAGATGTTGGCCACTACTACAAGGATGCATGTTGTGTAACTGTCACGATGCGTCACGTATGATGGGGACAGGGTCGTGTGTTGTAACCTGCAAGTCTCAACTGCGCCTGCTCCTTGGATGCAAAATTAATGTCAGCGTAAAATAAAGTTTTGTATATTATTACTGTGACAACACCATGATGAGGGTGCTGTGGTTTGAAAAGGTTTTGGAGCCTGTGCAAACAAAACCAAAACTGCACAGACAGAAACCACTGGCGAAGAGAGAGCGTTTGGGTGAACGGTCCCTTTAATCTGCTGCACCTCATTAGAATAAGGATAATAGGTCCTGAAGGGTCACAAGTTAAGTTGCTACCCATTCACTCTGTCTGCTTCCTCTGCCGGTTCATGCTCTTCATCGTGTCTTCTCTGAGGCGGGCAGTCCTGATTGGTCGGTCTGACTCCACATGTGGCCCAGCTGGACATTCGACAAAAAGCTGAAAATTCTGCAGCTCCAAGTCCTCGTTGCAGGAAGAACTGCTGTCCAACGTAGTGTCGCCACTCACAGCGATGGTGGCAGCATAATGCCACTGCCAGGCCGAGGATCGGACCAAGACCAGGGTCCAGTACAGAACCAGAGCCAGGACCACAGTCAGAAGCTGGTCCAGGGTCAGGCTCTGCAGC